AGGTTTTTTTGCGTTAACTCGTGTGGCACCCATACATCGAGCTTTTTTTTGTATCCAGCCTTATTCAAGTGGTTACAAACGGTTTTTTGTGCAATGTTTAGCTCTTGTTTAGCAATCGAAACAGTGCTTACATGACGGTCGGACTCGACGATTTCTATTATTTTATCGACATTTTTGACAATTGGCCTTCCAGATCGTGGTGCATCTTTGACATCAAAATTGCCGGAACGGAATCGACGAAACCAAAATTGCGCGTGATTGGCTGTTACAGTCTCAGGATCATAAACACTATTCACATTTTCAGCCGCCTGGCTTGCGTTTTCGCCTTTATCGAAGAAAAACTGTAAAATATGGCGTATTTTCTCTTTGCTGGTGCCCATCTTTGACGCGCGCTCAAACAATACTGAGTCAAACAATCACAAAACTGTCTGAGAAGTTTTTTTTAGTACGAAATCTTATCTTTCTAGCGCCATCTAGCGTAAACCGATCGCACTTATACAACGCGAGATACACATTACTCAAGCCATCTATTGGAAAAATAATGGATTTCTTTTTATTACATCTTATATATATACAGAGTGAAGAAAAAGTATGGAAATCCTGAAAAATTAAAAAAAAAATGTTTTACAGAAAAATGTTTCAAATAAAAGTTGCAAGATTTAAAAAGGTCTATTCAATAGTCTCATCAGTTTGACCCTGATTGGCGTTAGGGTAATGTCAAAGTCACCTTGAATTTTTTAAATGGAACACTATTTTTTATTGCATATTCATATAGTCCTTCTCGATACCTTTTCAAAGCACTATAATTTTATTCATTTTGGGTCATCCGTTTCAAAGTTATTGAATATTTTACAGTAAAAAGTAATAGATACCCGAAGACAAGGTCGCAATATGATCCAGCTAACTAAGGCAAGATCGGAGGATGATCTAAGAACTTAGATCATCCTCCGATCTTTCCTGAGTTTGCCGGATCATCCTCCTATCTTGCCTTAGTTGGCTGGATCATCCTCCGATTTTGTCTTAGTTAGCTGGATTATCCTCCAATCTTGCCTTAGGTGGCTGGATCATCTTCCGATCTTGCCTTAGTTGGTTGGATCATCCTCCGATCTTGCCTTAATTGGCTGGATCATCTTCCGATCTTGCCTTAGTTGGCTGGATCATCCTCCGATGTTGCCTTAGTTGGCTGGATCATCCTCCGATCTTGTTTTAGTTGGCTGGATCATCCTCCGATCTTGCCTTAGTTGGCTGGATTATCTTCCGATCTTGCCTTAGTTGGCTGGATCATCCTCCGATCTTGCCTTAGTTGACTGGATCATTCTCCGATCTTGCCTTAGTTGGCTGGATCATATTTCGACCTTGTCTTCGGGTGTATATTACTTCCTACTGTAAAATACTCAATAACTTTGAAACGACTGACCCAAAATGAATAAAATTGTAGTGCTTTGAAAAGGTATTGAGAAGGACTATAAGAATATGCATTAAAACATAGGGTGTGCCATTTAAAAAATTTAAGGTGACTTTGACTTCACCTTAACGACACCAGCCAGGGTCAAACTGATAAGACTATTGAATAGACATTTTTAAATCCTACATCTTTTATTTGAAACATTTTTTTGTAAAACTTATATTTTTTTAGATTTTTCAGAGTTTCCATACTGCATTTTCTGAACGTATTGTTCGTATTGTTATCGTACGTTCGTATACCGTTGTCCTGTTCGCGGAGCGGCCGCGCGTCAGAAGGCTTACCCGAGGAGATCGTCCTCGGGTTTTAATTGTCGCGATCAAATTACCGTGTCGCGTCTCGCGCTTTCATTTGTGAAACTGCTTGTGATTGTTACCGGGACGTGCGAGAGTCCCGTCAATAAATTCACTATTATAGATCACGCTTGGAGTCATTTGTGTCATTCCTGAATTCATCCCGTCTCCGACTTAAATTACGGAGAGCTACCGGTCCCGACGGTTCCCGGGGCACGCGAATCTTGTGTCGATTCTTACGTTTCGCGGTTATCGAGGTGGTGAGACCTTTTCCGCACCTGGCGCTCAACTTATCGTTTCGCGTTGTGACGTGAACCGAAGCCGACGGCAATTTGCCGACGCGACGGACAAGCGACTATGTGCCGTCGCTCGCCAGTGAGTCTCGCGAAAAGGCGTCGCAATATATATATATATATATATATATATATATATATATATATATATTAGGATCTTGAATAAGATCTCGCTGATTTTTTATGAAAATTAATGCTTTATTTTAAAAAAGTCGTAAAAAACATGTCACTGAAAGTATTGTCCATCGTTAGCCACTACTTTTTCTCATCTTTCTGGCAGCATTTGAATTCCACGTCGGAAAAACGACACGTCTTTTGAGGCTACCCAAGAGTCGACTCATTTTTTGGCATCTCCATAAGAATAGAGATGTTGCTCAGCCATGTGCGATCGATCGGAACAAGTGATAATCGGAAGGGGCAATGTCTGGTGAATACGGCGGGTGGGGTACAGAGATGTCGCTTCCGAACGGCATCTCTGAGCGTTATCTAGGAAGAGGAGAGTGTCGTGAGCGTGAAGCGTCAGGTAGCTCA